GACATTTGCAAAAAGAAGTCACGGATGGGTAAGGATAGTCTCTATCAAATGCGAATCAATCAGATGCGACCTCAACAGGTAAGGATTACCAGATTATTACCAGAATTATATAGGCTAATATCTATAATAGGATCATATTCTCACACAAGAGGCATTTTACGAACAAGTTCTATACACAGTTATCTCAACTCATAGCTCATTCCGCTCAGTCGAGGATCCTGAATGGAAAAGGCTTGCTATCTTACAGAATCCTCACTATCCACTACCCTCAGCAACAACTATTCGAAACCTCTTAACAACAAAAGCTCACACAAATCGAAGAAGAGATGCTACAAGATGTTGTTCCTGGTTCAAAGATTGCATTATCGCTCGACTGTTGGTCAAGTGTTACTCGACTTTCATTTATGGGTGTTATTGCATCATTTATCGACCGTCATTGGAAAATGCAAGAGGTCTTGATTGGGTTTGAACCTATATATACAGAGCATACTGGTGCTGAGTTATGTGGAATACTTGAAAAAGTTATCACAAGGCAGCATTTAGAAGGACGAATTATATCCATTACGACTGATAATGCGTCAAAAAACACTCAATGATGAGAGATGTGGAAATAATGCTTGATAGTATTGCAGACAACGAGCATTTCATTGGAGGAAAAGTACAACACATACCCTGCCTAGCTCACGTTATTCAACTTGCCCTTAGTGCTCTCCTTGGTCGAATCCGGATTACGCCAACAAATCAAGAGATCTTAATGAACTGGGAAGAAGAGAATCAGATGGAGGGCCTTGCAAAGTTGCAGAAGGACAAGGGTATTGGATTTACACTTGGAAAGGTATATATTCTCTTGTTAGTTCTGGTAAACTTCTGGTAGTCTTTTCTAATATCTCATAGCTCCGGAAGCTCACTATCTTTGTTAATTCAAGTCAAACTCGAAGGAACAGGTTTATGACTTGCAAAAGGCAACATGAACCGGGGTCAATCATCTCAGAGGCTTCTTCGACTTATTCAAGATGTATCAACTCGATGGGATTCGACATGCCATATGCTTCTGCGAGCACAGCAACTCAAGTCAACAATCAATCAATATACTCGAGGCGATCATGTGCTCACATGTTCAGACTTAGCGAGCTAGAATGGAAGCACATCGAATACATCATTGATCTTACAAGGCCATTCAACTTCTTTACAACAAACATTGGATCGTCAGCCGGACCTACTGTCTGCTATACACTTGGAGTATATCAAAAACTCTTATCAACGCTTGAAGGAACTCGGCACCGGCTACGGCATAAGACATATCCATGGGCAGCAAAGATGACTTTAGCAATCGATGCTGCAGAGGAAAAAGATTAGGAAGTATTATAACAAGCTATACACAAATACTGGATCTATCTTCGCATTTGCTAGTATCTTAAATCCTAGTGTGAAGCTCTCACACTTTAACAAAAGGTTTGCAAGCTTGACTTTTCAATACGAAATTGGGAGACAGAGTTTGAACAACAGTTTAGGACTCTTTATAAAGAGCAGTACTCTACAGTGCGAGTTGCGAGTCAATCAGGATTACGAGATGCAGATATGGATCCATTAGCCTTAGTATTGCAGCAAAGTCAGACATTAAATGGGACTCGGGGCCAGCGAGAGGAATATGTGAATGAGGCTGATCTCTATCTTGATGCTCGTAAGTTTCTGGTAATCTTCTGATAATCTTATTCTAACTTGTATAGCACATATCTACACAAAGATATTGCTATTTTGGCAACAAAAGGAAGAGCAATTTCCTGGTCTATCAGCAATGGGCTCGTGATATACTTTGTATTCCTGCTGCTGAGTCTGGAGTTGAGCGAGTCTTTAGTGCCGCAAGGGACGTATGTGGCCACCGACGTGGTCAACTTAATCCTGAGACGATTAAGAGTATTATGCTTATATATTACTCTCGACAATACAAGAATCGTCAAGTCATCGTGACAAGCTTGCAGATATGATGGACGTCGTTGATATGACTGAGGAGCAAGTCGAAGAAGAGTATGAGGCACAACGACAACGGATGTGCAATTCTATCGAGTTACAATATATCAGCGATGAAGAAGAACCACGATCAAATACACATATCGAGAGACATATTCAAAGGTACAATATCCTCCGTTTAATCCTCAGCGGCCACAGCAACAGCAAGACTTATCACAAGCTGCACATGAAGAACGACAAATGCGCTACCAACAAGGTGAAGAAAGAGATAGGGCTGACCGTCTTAACGAGACCTTATACGACATCCCAGATGACGATATCCCAGATAATGAAGATATAAGAGAAGATGGTAATAATGAGGAGCCTATACTTCCAACTATTCATGACGATGAAGATAAGGATATGCCGTCCTCGCCACCAACGCCTATCCAACACCCTCGGAAGACTGGAAGAGATCTACTTGATATCTTTCAAGCTACTCGTCAAGACCCTATAAATACTTTAGGTATTAGTAGGTCTGGCCGGCCTCATCAAGCAAGGTGGAAAGATGTTCTTGAGCATATATAATATAGTGTTCTGATAATCTTCTGATAATCGTGGTACTTAGATAGAGGAATATACGTGATTCGTTCTCACAGCTTATTAGAGATGGTAGAGTGATGCTGATAAATGTAATACTTTAAATTAACTTACAACTGTAACCATAAAACAGTATTAATCGTATGAGGGACTGTTCACGTAATGCATATATCTTACACGTGACAGCCGAGTACTCACTGGGTTTTTACAGAGTAACTGAGTATTGGCCTCACTCACCGAGTCGAGTGAAAGGTTCAGCTACTCACCCAGCTGAGTAACCCACTGAGTGAGTGAGCCGAGTATTGGGCGAGTAGTGCGCAGCCTAGGCTCCACCTGCCCCTACCACTCGACAAATCCGAAATAACTCTCTCACTTAAACTCGTATCAGAAATCGGAGGTAGCCATTCTGTTCCGCTTGTAAACCTCTGTCAATGGTGGTGTCGAACGATAAATTCCGCCCGCTCCTGCAGAACATGTGACTCTTCTCATACCTAGCCCCCCACCACCCTTTGCCACCCATCGGAATCTGGAATACCTCGGCCATTTCAAGCCGTATCAAAAATCGGAAGACGTCATTTGATTCCCCTCGTAATTCTCCTTCAATGACGATATCGAACTTTATATTCTACCCATCGCTGCAGAAGCTATCGCCACTCACGTGCCATGCCCATACTGCACCCTTGCCACCTGGCGGAATCTGGGATATCTCCATCGTTTCAAACCGCATCGTAAATCGGAAGACGCCATTTTGTTCCCCTTGTAAATTTCTTTCAATTACGATATCGAACGTTTGATCTTGCCTCTCAGCTCTGCATTTATACCACTTCCCGTTCTATGCCCTCTTCTTCTTGCCACCCATCGAAATCCATTATAACACGATCATTTCAACTCGTATCAAAAATCGGAGGACGCCATTCGATTCCGCTTGCAAATCTCCCTTAATAACGATACTGAACGTTTGGTTTCGTCTGTTGTTGTAAAAGTTATTAGCCTCTGAAAACTATGCTCAGCCCCCCCTGCCACTTACCGCCTGACAAGATCCGCCATAACTTGTTCGTTTCAACTCGTATCAACAATCGGAGTATGCCATTTTGTTCGTCTTGCAAAGTGTCCAATTTCCCCTATCGAACGATAGATTTGATCCATCGCTGCAGGCGTTATTAGCCTTCATAAACTATACTCAGCCAGTCCCTCAGCCACCAAGCACCTGACGAAATCCGAAATAACTAACCCATTTTTTCTCGTATCAAAAAAAGGAGTACGCCATTTGTTCCCCTTGCAATCCTCTTTCAATAACGCTATCGAACGTTAAGTTCAGCGCACTGCTGCACAAGTTATACCACGTCTCATATGTAAACCACCCCCCTTGGCCTTCCTACCCACTGCCACCCGTCTAAATCCGGAATATCTTCACCAGTTGAACTCGGATCAAAACTTGGGATACGCCATTCGATTCCCTTGTAAATATCTTCCATTGACGATACCGAACGTTAAGTTTCAGACGTCGCTGCAAAAGTTGGAATCCTTCTCACATGTTACCATGGGGCCCCATTTCCTGGGCCCGGCCCAACAAATCCGAAATAACTCACTCGTTTCAAGTCGTATCAAAATCGTAAGAGGCCATTCGATTTCTCTTGCAAATCTCTTCCAATGACGATATCGAACGTTAAGTTTCCGCCGTAGCTGCAAAGGTTATAATCCCTCAGAGTAGGTGCTCCACCACCCTACTGTCCCCCAGCGAAATCTGCAATATCTCACCCGTCTCAACTCGTATCACAAATCGGAGTACGCCATTTGATTCGTCTTGCAAATCACTTTTATTAACGCTATCGAACGCACCATCTGCATGCCGTGTCAGGATATTACAATCCATCCTATAACATGCTCCCCCAATCACCCCTCCCATGCATCGCCCGACCAAAACCGGAATATCTCCACCATCGAAAGTCCGATCAACAATCGGAGTACGTCAATTTGTTCCCCTTGCAAAGCTGCACAGGAAACGTCAGCGAACGTTCCACTCGATTGCGAGACCGTCAACCTACCGTCCCTGCAAGAACGTGAGTCCGGAAATGGACCAGGAGACAAGCCCTCTACTCCTCCTCACCTGGCTGCCAGTTGCTCTGCTTCGTGAAGAAGACGCACGAGTACCGCGTGCCCTCGAAGGGCGCGATCCAGTGCTCGAGGACTGCAGAGCGGAACAGGACAACATCCCCTGGCTGGAAGGGAATCCTATAGCCAAGGGCTGGCAGGCACAGCTCCCCTCCCTCAAACTGAGTATCAGAGCGAGAGTGTTGCCTCGAAATATTCCAAAGGCTAGTCTGGCATTCGAGCTAGGGTTAGCATAGATGGTAGTTTACTATACTAATTACTATAAACCCTTACGCTCATCCCTCATCATCTCTAACATCCTACATGCTTCTCGCCATACTAACATCCAATTGCTCTCAACCCTATTCATCCTTTCTTCCCTCTCCTTCATCCATCCCCATATCTCCTCGGGATACCTCCCTTGGAACCCCCCTACTTCTGCCACTCCTTGTAAATACCCCTGTTGGAATAATATGAATATCCCTACTAGCATCACCCCCTCATACTCACACCTCTCTTCTGCCATCCTCACAACCCCCCCTTCCCACCGTCGACATACCTTTACTGACAATCCACACTCTTCGCACTGCCCTAGTCCTCTTAAATCAACCCCCCCACGCCATTCCTCATACCCTGCAATCCCACATCCCTCCATTTCTGCTTCCATACAATCAACGTACTCGTGCTGCCTCCCTTTGCCATATACTAGCTCGCAATATATGCATCCCCCCTTTAACCTATTCATCACCCCTCTCATCTGCTCTTCCTCTTCTTCTACCTCTTTCATCTTACTCTGAATCCTGCCACCCGTGCTTTCCCTGCCATCATTCCTACTACCATCATTTATAGTAACCTTTATAGTAATCGCCTCCTCCTCACCTCTCTTCCTTACTGCCACTTGGCTCAAACACAAATCGCATAGCACGCTGTCCGACCCTACACAGCTCACTCCCTCTACTACCCCATCAAAGTAGTGCCCTAATACTACTCGCCTGCACTCCCTGCTCTGGATATATTCCGTCATTGCATCCTCATCCACCTGCTCCACTGAATACTCGCTCATCAACCCTTGACTCTTTACCCCTACACTCTGTACTAGTGTGACAATTATCGACTCACTAACCTCTCCCTCTCTTCCTCCCCTTCCTGACTGTTGAGCAAAGCTCGTCAATCCATATGGCCTATCAATATGCACCACATATATGATCCCTGGAATATTAATTCCTGTCCCTAATGCTCCTGTCGCCACAATCCATCCTCCACTTCCTTGAGCCCACTTCTGTAGTGTTTCGCCCTTATCATCTGCGCGTGCCTTGTAAAATGAGCACTCTAAAGCACTGCTGATTAAGTCGCCAGTTGCATAGCTCCGTACATAAACCACTCCACGTTTCCCATCTGGCAAGTATAGTAGTCTTTCTAGTAATCGAAGTCCGACCGCAGATGCTGCTTCTTCCTTACTATCCTGCACCTGATATCGAATGGTCGGCCGTGCAGTGCTCCGTCGTAGTAGTACTGCATCCTCAATTAATAGCCTGTCTCGTAATACATCTTCTAGCTCAACCATCAATGTGGCTGTTAATGCTGTAAATGGACACTTTAAGTACCGTAGTTTCCACAGCTCTCGAAGCCGCTCTCGATATGATGTATCTGTAAATGCAACATGGCATTCATCAAAGAACATGTGAGCTAGCTGCCCATTCAACTCGTACCCCTTAGCCTCGTGGAGAAACTGCCCACTGACGGCCTGGTCAGCACTGACAACCAGCAGCTGCACCAACTCTTGACTACTATAATGATTACTATAGCTCCACTCTTTACAGTGCAGCCCAGCAGCCTGTCCTCGAGCCACGATATCTTCAACTAGTGCTGTGAATGGAACGACCACAATCACTGTCTGGTCAACAGCCATGGCAGCCACTGAAAAGAACAGCACTGACTTGCCACTGCTTGTGGGCAACACGATAATCGATGTGACTGGGGGCTGGTGAACAAGTTGTAGTGCTGCAGCTTGTCCTTCAGATCGTGGCTGCGCTTGTGGGCCATAGATCCGTCGCAACCCATCTAATGCCTTTGCCTTCACCCCATGCTTGCTCTCTCTCCTCTCTCGTTTGATGCCAACTGGTGTTAATTGCTGGCTGGCTTGTCGCCCATGCTTTCCTTTCCCCTCAGCCTGTGCCAACCCTAACAACTCGTGCCATGCTACTGAAGCTTGCTCATATGCTGTGATTAACTCTGGGCCTAGTCGATGCAAGAATGCTCCGTCAACTGCATAATGAGCTTGGGCTACTCTCTGCCCATGCCCTGATTGTCTGTTTAATGTTAGTACTAATTACCATAATGATTACTATAATAATTACTATAAACAATAGTACCATACTATGGTACTACCATAAATAGCGCTTACTATAATCATTACTATAAACTCACCTAACCATGATATGTCGGAATGTGTTCTGCTCCAACTCTTCTTCATCATCACCCTCTGCAAACTCTCCTTCATCCTCTTCATCGTCCTTCTCCCACGTCTTGCTTGCTCGTAGTAAATGCCGTACAGCAATTCCAATGGCTACGTGTCGCCAGCTCTGCACTGTCAACCGTACACCTAGCCCCTTACTTGTTGCCTTGCTTAAAGCTTGCGTGAGCTCTTCTCCTGCCCATGGCCCTCGATTATCACCAAACAAGTACTCTGACTCTCGTTGGTCTAATGCCCTGCCAAATGGTCGGATATATATCAAGTACTGTGCTAACACTTGACTGACCTCATTGGGCAAGAACCGAACAATGTAATCTGTGTTTCCCCTCCTCTTTCTTGCCTTATCGTACATGGTTAAGAAGCACATCTGCCCATTAATGACGTATATGTTCCGCGCTGAATACACACTGTTACTAACCTTGATCGATCCAATCTCTGGTCCTCGAGCTGGCTGGCCACCTGTGACATGCAAAGTAACCATCAACTTTCGTAAGAACTGACGCTCTTGATTCAAGTACGCCTGCTTCTGTGAGTCGTTCCATTTGTATGATCCATCGCCTGCTCTTTGAAGCAACTGCCACTCCTTGCTTCCCTTCCTTGCACGTTTAAGCAGATACTGATAACCTACATCCGTACGCTCTCGATTCTTAACATGGTTGATGAAGCTGTACTCAGACTGTCGAAATTTCGTGTTCCAAGCCATGCTGTCAACGATCTGGCTCAAATCTACCATGGGCAGCTCTGAATCAAACGCCAGATTGTATAGTAATCTTTGTAGTAATCCTATCAAGTCATGGCACATTTCCCTAACCTTTTCAAGCTCAACTCCCATTCCAAGATAATAAATCGTCTGTTCATCGCGTGACCAGTGGATGTTCGCTGGCGACTCATGCAGCTGGTTATACTTCTTCCCCATAGCTAATTGACTCAAGATGCTTGACGTTGGTGAGAATGAGCCTTCACAGAGATGGGTCCTCCGTAGCTTGTGGATTCGCTCAGGAATTGATTCAATATCCTCTTTGCTCTGGAGTCTTAATTCTGGCCATGGCTCTAATGGTACTGCGATCTCAAGCATAAGCAGCCGTGTGATCCATAACACACGTCCAAGTATTGGTGTGTATGCAAGTGGTGGATATAGCGATTTGGTAAGTGGATCGATCCCACGAACAGCTAAGTAATGCATCAATGGTGACTCGTACAGCCCAATCTTGCTAGTGTCCTGCATCACGACTAGCATGCACAGTCGCATCAATTCGGCTGTGAGTAATGGATCCTGATCGTCTTCATTATTGGGTTCAGTTTGCAAGTGCGTATGGATCTGTTGGATTGACTGCCACTGAGCATGGGTGAATTCCACGCCAGTTTCTAATGAAGTCAGTATAGCAATCATTATAGTAACCCTTCACACACGTTGCCAATGTGCACTTCGCGCAGATGGTTTTGGGTTATATACTATAGTAACTACTATAGTAACCATCTACTCACTGTGTAAAGCTGTGCGCTTCACGCAGATGGGTCTGGGTTTGATTTATCCTACCACACAACCCTCCACACACGTTGTGTGACGCCGTGCGCTTCGCGCAGATGGGTTTGGGTTTGATATATCCCACCCCCTCCACACACGTTTCGTGATGCTGTGCGCTTCGCGCACATGGGTCTGGGTTTGATATATCCTACCACCCAACCCTCCACACACGTTGCAAGACGCTGGTGCGCTTCGCGTGGACGGGTTTGGGTCTTCTATAGTAACTACTATAGTAAACACCCACACGGGTCTGGGTTTGGTATATCCTACCACCCAACCCTCCACACACGTTGCGGGATGCTGGTGCGCTTCGCGCGGACGGGTTTGGGTCATATACTATAGTAACTACTATAGTAAACACCCACACGGGTCTGGGTTTGATATATCCTACCACCCAACCCTCCACACACGTTGCGGGACGCTGGTGCGCTTCGCGCGGATGGGTTGGGGTCTTCTATAGTAACTACTATAGTAAACACCCACACGAGTCTGGGTTTGATATATCCTATCACCCAACCCTCCACACTCGTTGACGCCGTGCGCTTTGCGCAGATGGGTTTGCCTCTTCCATAGTAACCACCATAGTAACCATCCACATACCTGTATCATCCTCCCAGTCAACTGTCGCCGTCCTCATCATGTAACAGATGAACCTCTGCCATACTGCACTACACTTATGAACCGACTGAACGCTCTGGTGAAGCTCGAATGGATGCTGGCTCGCAACCTCATTCTTTGGTGATGCCCACCACTTTAGTACATCCTTGTGGTCCATATTTGCTAGCGTATCAAGACAGCGTTCAAGAATCCGATCCCATGCACGTAACAGTCGTTGTAATTTGGTCTCCTTCTCCTCTGGCTCACGCGCGTATTTGTACGTCTGGATAATATCAACCTGTGACTCCTGAAGAACCTCGTTCCACCCAGTGTATCGTAGCCATGGGTCTAGCTCATCAGCCGCGGGCTTGGCTAGCAGTGTCAACCTGCGCTCCTGTGCTGCCTCCTTCCACTGCTCGATGTCGCGTATGATCTGGTCCTCAGCATCGCCTTCCTGGTTGCTGGCTTGCTCTTCCTCACTAACATCATCGCTAGACTGCTCTCCAACGTCGCGTACTAATATCATCAGCTGGTTAATATAATGATTACTATAAAGATTGCCAGAATCCAACTTACTCAATTGATGCGTCGCTTGCATTCCTTCAGCCTGTCTACTCTCATCCACAACCCAATATCGCTCCTTTCCATCTCGAAACCATGTCTGCAGCCGTACAGCCTGGAATAACTGGTTGTCATCCACCCGTTTCATTGAATGCTTATTTCGGCCATGATCCTTCATTACTCTTCGACTGATTGTATAATACCTACAATGCTGATATTGGAATCCATCAACTATTGGAATAACTGGCTGTGGTGGTAGTCCATCAACTGGTAATTGGATAGTTGAATAATTATAATCAAATGGAACCCTCTGAATATAGTGCTGTATCTGCTTTCGAACTTCCAGTTTCTCCTTATGGATTTTGCGGAAGTGCTCAGTTAGTCCTACACCGCTAACTGCTTTGCAGCAATGTGCACTCAAACAAACCAACACCTTATACTCAACGTTTAGTTGGATCAGATGGCTCAAAGTCACTGGAACTTGAATGGAATTGATGCTCTGACGTTCTGCCATGATGGAATTGATGGTAATAGCTATAGTAATCCATATAAAACGTAACCCTAGAGAATGCCGTTGTGCGCCCATCGGCAACTAGTGCCAAGACAAGTGCACGGGCCACATCTAACCTAAAATGGATGCCTTTGGGCGTCCAACGGCAGAGACATAAGGTTAGGTCTAACCTTAAGGCTATTTCCCCTACTAGAATATGTATAGTGACTTGTAGGTTTGAGGAGGAGATTTCTAAGTTTGCTCTTGAGTTTGATAGCAAACTGAGTGCAACGAATGTCAGTATGACACTCAAACCTACAAGTCACTATACATATTTTGGCTTGTCACACCAACAACAAGAGCAATACTACTCAACAATTGCTACAACCATCTATGATTCATTACACGTCATCGCTCCTTAGTTACTGGGCCGATATACCACATAGCATATCTCTACAACCCTCTATGATTCATTACATGACATCACTCATACTACCACATGACATATCTCTACCAACTAGAGGCCTAGGAACATGAACGATAGCTCCAAAAGCTTCTACAACCGTCTATGATTCATTACACGTCATCGCTCCTTAGTACCCACAAGATTGGTTAAGTTATGACATAATTTGTCTATAGTGGTACTCTGACCTTGGACCTCCTTTCACTTCCTATAGGCTAGGAACCTAGGAGATGGTTCTATGGGATTCTCTTACATCGACTACAGCTACCAAGCCTGGTTAGTCATGGAAAGTCTTGGAAAATAAGAGAACTACACTCCTTTAGCATAAATAGGATTGCCCTTTCCTTAAGAAAGGGCAAGCAGACAATACAGTAAATCGACTATCACATACTTCCACATCTTTTCCAAGCTTCCAAGCATTGATCTTGTTACTCCTTGTTTCTGAAAAGTCAGTGAAGTGCTAACCTCTGACTTATCCCTGAGTTCTCAGACTCAACATTTGTTACAACTTGTCTAAACCACTCCACTACATCATACACCTAATTGCTGCGTTGTGGAATAGTCTAAGCTACGACCCTTTGGCTCTTTTTCCTAAGACAGTGTGTTGTCTTAGTAAAATCATCCCTTCCTTGGGTGGCTAGATTCTCACATCTGGTGCGTGCATTCAAGCAGACGGGTGGCATACAAAATACTAGAATACTCATTTTTTATACTATATACTATAGGGGCTTATTTTGTAGAGCTTTCAATTCTAATTACAATGGATCGATTTTTACATCTATCGATCTAAAATTGCATATGTTACGAGCAAATTAATATCTACGTTCGGTGGCTTCGCGGGTGGTTTTGCGATTCGGTCAATAGCAGTGGTTAGTGACTGTAGGTAGAACTTGTGACTGACTTAAACAAGGTGGCCGTGGTGTTTTTCGCTTAGTATTCGGGCACCGATGTCCGACTCGGTCTAAGTAGTCTAGTCAAACAAGTCGGCCCATAGTTAACCCGTAACAGCCAATCAGGTCACTCCTGACCGTCGCCCTTTAGGCCGCGATGCAAATGGAAATTGATGAGGGGCATCTCGTATATTTACTCTTATCTTCTCAACTCGCCGTTCGTCGACCATCGACCATCGACCTCCCTCTCTGACGTTCCTTCAAAAAACCTATTTAACGTCTCTATCCATGCTCTTTGATACTCCAACATAGTATTGAACCATCGACTCTTGACACGGCGAAAAGATGTCCGCTCCACTCGCCGTCCCGGCGATGAACAGGCACACTGCCACCGTCATCTTCCTCCACGGCCTTGGTGATCAGGGTGCTGGCTGGATCGATCTGGCTGTGAACTGGCGCCGCCGCCAAAAGTTCACTGAGACGAAATTCATCTTTCCCAACGCCCCGTCCATTCCAATCACACTTGTGAGTACCCGTCTGCCCATCCGCTCGGTTACTTGTCTATGAAAGCTAACTGAGTAGAATGGTGGCATGCGCATGCCGGGATGGTATGATATTGTAAGGGCCCGCAACACTGTCCGTTTGTGGCTTATGCTTGATAGCCTTTGTTCAGAGGCTTAACTGTTGGCTAACTATCTGGAGAAAGCTATTGATGACTTCTCCACCGAGGAGGACGAGGCTGGCATCATGCGCTCGCGCACCACAATTCACCGACTCATCGACGCCGAAATCGCTGCCGGTATCTCCTCCGAGCGCATCATCATCGGCGGCTTCTCCCAAGGCGGCGGGATGTCCCTACTCTCCGGCGCTACCTGCGAACACAAGCTCGGCGGCATCGTTTCGCTGTCTGGTTACATGCTCCTGAAGAACAAGTTCAAGGACCTCGTTCCCGAGGGAAACCCTAACAAGGATACCGAGATTTTCATGGGCCATGGAGACCAGGACCCGCTCGTTTTGACGGAATGGGGTAAAATGACTGCCGAAAAGATGTCGGAGTTGGGATGGAAGGTTGACTTGAAGATCTACCCGTAAGTTTCTTATTTGCTGCTGGGGGAAAGATGGCCAGGCTAACCTGGAATTAGCGGACTCAAACACTCGGCGGCTCCCAAGGAAATTGATGATTTCGAGGACTATCTACACGTTTGGATTCCGGATCTAGAGGAGGAACCAGCTCAGTGACTTGGGGGGACAATGGGAGAAAATAAAACGCCACAGCATGGCCCCTGCAACCAGACACCGTGTGTCAGCCTTGCGATTGTCATGCTCACAGTCGCATGGCTGCTCTGCCGCTGCCGCATCTGGCCACGAAGCCGAGCTATGCGACGAAACAAAGTCATCGTTGCCCAAGAATAGGTAGTCGTTCGGGGGATAAAGGAGAAAGCGTGGATTTGAACAGATCAGACTATAGAAACCTTAATCAAATTCAACATCGTAGTTGCAATCGGAATCGCGACTATCTTCGGCATCCCGACCCCGTGGGAATTGCAGTGGAGCCGTAAGCTATTGTAGGGTGGAAGATGTCCCGAGCCGAGGGCGTTTGTGTTGTTTTGGATTAGCTGTCTTACACTATATCTGACATATCTGACCAACCCATGACCCATATAATGACCAATTCACTAGTCCCCGGATCCTCGATTTTGTCAGCGTTAGCCCTCCACACTCGTCATGGTTTACTTCTCATTTCTCATATAAAAGAAGTTATACCCCCACATCCACAGTAGGAACTTATTTATATTCTCACTTTGCTCGCGACTTCAACACTGGCAGATGTTTCTTGGCCGCACATATTTTCCATCGGCTTTCTTCGCAGTCCCACGCTCAATGGCTCTCCGGTCTAGGATGCAACAGCCGGGTGGCACAGGGACATCATTACGAGCCTGTCTGGGCGGCTCTGACTTGGGCACTTCTTTCCCGCTGAGCGTCCGAGAAGGCGCCTCGGATAGGTCCGGCGTCGAAGGCCATTGGGAACGCTCCATTTGAGGTTGAGAAATGCAGACGAGGATCTGTTCCAGCCTGTGCAGTTACAGTCATGGTTTGACGAAAAGAGGGCACGGTATTGGGTTGTCGACAGGAGTAGGCAAGAAGACCAAGTGCAACAGGGGCATCGAGCCGACGTGCGTGATGTAGGTGAGGATTCTGATGCAGGCGATGGGTTAGATAGTGGGAGTGATGGTGGGGGCCACATGGTTGACGACCAGATCATCCAGGATATTGAGAGGTGGAAGGCCGACAAGCAGGAGCGGCGGCTGCATTTTTTGAGGAAGGTGCCCACTGTGGAGATGGATTCGTGGTTACAGTACACAAGGTGGAATGAGGCGCTAAGCCAGTCGAAGCACAACATGGTTGAGACGTCCTGTTTCACGCGCATGCCAGACCCCGAGGAGCCCAAGCTGCAACGGTTGTTGCGAGCATGGAAACGGATCATGGAGCGCTGTCTGGACACGCTAGAGGACATTGACCACAAAGATGTGTTGAAGTGGTGGGCTTCACCAAAGAATGAGGCCGCGAGCCAGCGGCCATTCGAACTGCGGCAGAGCATGAAGAGCATGGAGAAGTACAGCCGGGTCTGGGAGGGTTTCATTTGTTACATGATGCGGACGGCGACGGGGGATTGCTGGGAGGATCCAGAGACAGGCGTGGAGTACACGTATGTGCAGTGGAGGTGCATTCAACGGATACGGAGGGGGTTGGATAGCCATGAGGACATTTGGGGGGGGGGACAATAGGTGGAATGGCAGGTGAAGCAAAAGACTGCGATCGCGAGGTAACCAATTCATTGATGTGCTTGTGCATGTTAACAGTCATGCAAGACACGAGCCGGATCACATTATACGACAAGGCACGGAAGAGATGGGGGAACACAGAGTACATTGTCAGGTGTCTGCCGGATGAGGTGGGACAGGTGTTGGCGCAGTATCTGGTATATGCGTCCATTTGCATGGGCATTGGACCAGCGAGAGTCGGAGTATTTGTTTGGGGACAGACGAGGGCCGTGGGCTGGCGAGGAGCTGAGCAGGGCATTGGCATCCGCTAGCAGGGTGCATGTGGGTGTACGCTTGACGGTGTCTGCATGGAGGCATGTAGCGATTGGGATTGCCACGAGGTATCTGATGCAGGCAAGCAAGACGTGGGAGAAGGATCACGAGGAGGCTGAGGACGGGGAGGATTTTGCAGAGGGGGATGATGATGAGGAGCTGGAGCTGGACACGTCCCGTCACATCATGGTCCGGTGAGCTTTGTGCAGATCTGTCAGGTGCGAGCGCAGAAGAGTTATGTCATACTGACATTCGTTGCACTCAGTTTGCTATCAAACTTGGAAATCTCCTCCTCAAACCTACAAGTCACTATACATATTTTGGCTTATCACACCAACAACAAGAGCAATACTACTCAACAATTGCTACAACCATCTATGATTCATTACACGTCATCGCTCCTTAGTTACTGGGCCGATATTACCACATAGCATATCTCTACAACCCTCTATGATTCATTACATGACATCACTCATACTACCACATGACATATCTCTACCAACTAGAGGCCTAGGAGCATGAACGATAGCTCTAAAAGCTCCTACGAACCTCTATATGAATGCTTGGAAGCTTGGAAAAGACGTGGAAGTATGTGATAGTCGATTTACTGTATTGTCTGCTTGCCCTTTCTTAAGGAAAGGGCAATCCTATTTATGCTAAAGGAGTGTAGTTCTCTCATTTTCTAAGACTTTCCATGACTTACCAGGCTTGGTAACTGTAGTCGACGTAAGAGAATCCCATAGAACCATCTCTTAGGTTTGTAGCCTATAGGAAGTAAAAGGAGGTCCAAGGTCAGAGTACCCCTATAGACAAATTATGTCATAGACAAATTATGTCATAACTTAACCAATCTTGTGGGTAACTAAAGAGCGATGACATGTAATGAATATTGTTACTCCTTGTTTCTGAAAAGTCAGTGAGGTGTTAACCTCTGACTTACCCCTGAGTTCCCAGACTCAACATTTGTTGCAACTTGTCTGAACCACTTCACTACATCACACACCTGATTGCTGCGTTGTGGAATAGTCTAAGCTACGACCCTTTGGCTCTGTTTTCTAAGACAGTGTGTTGTCTTAGTAAATTCATCCCTTCCTTAGGTGGCTAGATTCTCACATCTGGTGCACCCACCATTACACTCTGCCCGGTGTAGAACAACTGTAGTTCCACGTGCAAATGATTGAAACCCTTCTCTTGAAGGTGATGAGAAAGCTTCCTCTGCTCTCTTCTGCCAATGTTCAACCGCTTGCACACTTTGCATAGTTGTTTTTGGTGTTGAGATAATATTATATGAAGCAAATGGCTCATAATCAGGTGTTTGATTCCGAGTCTCTTGTATCTTGTCAATTACAAGTGGAGGATTATATGGATATAGTCCTGCATTTCTCCAACCAGATTGAATTGTACGGACAGTTAGAGATTGCCGTCGGATTTGCGGGAGGTCTGAAAGGAACGTACGTAGCTTATACTCATAGTCGTAGCTATGTACTGCTTGATCAAGTGCCTTTTGATGAAAGTGTTTGCACTGCTTAAAAACTGCTACATCAAGAGGTTGTAATAGATGTGTTGTATGAGCAGGAAGGCAGCAAATAACAATGTTATGCTCTTCTGCTAATGTAAGAAAGCGCTCTGTTTTATGAGAGTCATGGCCGTCAAGTAATAAGAGGCGAGTATCATCTGGTGCCATATGCTCTGCAGATAGTTGGATAAAATGCATAAGGTATTGGATTGCAATGTCGTCATTTGAATACCCGCTCTCATTTACAATAATGAGAGCATTTGGCTCAAGGTCATCATTGTACCATGAATCCATATGAAGTTTGCCAGGGATAATGATAGCTTCTGCAAGTGCAGCACCACTTGCATTTACTGCCTCAATTACAGTAACAGAGAGCCGATTCTCAGGATTATCAACAGTCCACTGCTTTACACCGATTGGTACAATAACAGCCGTAGACTTATAACACCCAATCATATAGCCTGTCTCATCAACATTCCATAAATTATATGGCTTAATGTTATGTGTTGTAATAAGGGCGTTATATGTGAGAAAGAATTCCTCAAACACCTCTTTCTTTTGTGCTTGCTTCTGATGTGTATTTAACGTCTTCGTGTGAATTATATGAAATTCAGGGTGTGCTTTTAGAAAGCGTTGTAGCCACCGTTGTGATGGTATCGTACGATTAGGTCGTAAGTCTGCAACTGCCCGTAGTATCATAGTAGGATCGTTATTTTGAGGCATTGTAGATACTACGTTATGAAGAATACTATTATTTTCTCTATATATCAAAATAGCGGTGTACGCACATCTTGCTGTCGCACGCACAACTTGCTGTCGCCACCTACGAGCGAAGCGAGTGGGTGGAACACCTAGTAGTATGAGATTGCGGGTGAGTGTGGAAGCGAGCGTGGGAGTGAGGATGGGAGCGAGTGTGGGAGTCAAAGTGATAATTCAATAGAGTAGGCAGATTATGTACCTTTACATACAAATTACTATGGGCTAGTACTTACTCTCAAAATCGTAAGTTGGCGCAACTTGCTTTCTCTCGCGTGAAGTGGCGCATGTTGCTTATTCTAACCTTGAGCGAAGCGAAAAGTTTGGTCACAACGATTGTTAATGTGAAGTTAGTCTCCTGTAGCCTACGGAGCAACGTGGAATAATATGTAACGGTGATAACGATGACGATCGTATTACTATTCTTGATGATGCTCTGAAGAAGAGAGTTACGACGGAACAAGAAGGCTGGCCAACTACAGGACAGGAAGGAGGGAGGTCGCATGAGACCGGCCCTGGTACCTGGAGGGGCAGCGGGGAATAGTAGTTCCGAAAGTATCACGTGACGGACTCGCAGGATGATGAGAAGAGTCCTAAGAGTCCAGGACTCCGAGGACTCGAGTGAGTTCCCAAGAGTCCACTAGGCACGACGCCACTATATAAGTAGATAGTATTTCCTTAGATAGGAGCTTCGTGCTCAACTCAATACAGTATTTGTTATATACTAGTAACGTGTTACTTGAAGCCTTTGTGTCTGATCCCCTGCCTCCTCTGATAAGTAAACCTTTACGCAAGAGAACCTCTGTGTCTTCTATCATTTAGAAGTCAGCGTTACAAAGAGACAATCGGCTATCCGATGTTCCATCTATACTACGCTATGTCACGTGTTGGTTCACACTTATCCCCCGCTGGGGGTAGACGACCTCGCTGGCGCCTCTCAGAAAACCCCTCAACGAACCAACTTCTCTCCCTATAAGTTGTTCGTGACAACCTGAATGATGTTGATCGTGACGCTGTTGGAAATCTTTGAAGATATTCCATGATAAAATAAGCTTTCGAACTGATTAAAATGCAACGCTGTAAGACTCTTGGTCTTCAAAATGCCCCTTTTGAACGCCTCCTCCATCCATGCTGGAAAATGCCCTATAACTCAGACTGTTCATTCGGCCTTTCCTTCACACGTAATGTATGAACCTCTCAAAAGGTCTTTCAAATCGTCTTCTTAAACCTTATAAGTTTCCCTTTGAAACTCATCCTGATACATCCTCGTCTTGCCGGTCCACATCATTCCCCGGATTCTCAACCCATGACAGAAGAACCTCGAGCGGATCTTTCTGATCATCTTGCGAAACTCCTGGTGTACCACGAACGTGGGCGGAGATAAGCGCTCTAACTGCTCGACGAGCTTCGTCCCGTTGACATCGTAAAAGATCATTCTGCTGAGCCAATTCCTTTTCACGCTTCTTGAACTCTTGATTGGATTTATCGATCATTTCCTCCACTGCGAAGAGTCTCTTCGCTCCCGCCCAGGCCAGATTCGTAGCTCGGAGAAACTGACTTCCTAGTCGTTCATGTCCAATGTCTTCGGCCGAGATAGGTTTCCGTGTGATGGTTTCAAGGACAAGTTTGCGAAATGCTAGAGGATCCTTTCGGGCCTCCAGCGACAAAGTGACGGAACAGCTTTCTTGGTTGGTGCGTTTGGGCCAAGTTTTGACTCTGACGCATATCGGCCTTCGATGCGGAATTGTCCCATCCCACAGTAAAGCCTCTCTTTGGCTTGTCTTCTTCGGTTGAGGATGTCTTCTCCGTTTCCATAGATGGATCCATTCGGGTCGTTTGAGGTCAGGTATTCATACAGATCTTTCTCGAGTCCTCCTTCTTGTTCAGTTAAGTCCTTGAGGAACCCGTCTCCCGCCAGACCTCTTCTGGAAAATGTTTGGTAAAACCCGTATTTCTTCAGATGTGTCTGTCCTTTCAATCCTCTAACCTCTTGGTGTTCATAGAGCCACGATTTGTCAGGTAGACCGTGATTCTTATTGTTCTGAGGTGCTTCTTGGATAAATCTCAAGGTTTTCGCAATGTGTTCTTTTGCGCGGGGGTGTGCTGTCTCTTTGCTATAGTGAACGAGGGCTGCCGAAATTTCTGAGTCAGGGTCAGCATCCGGATTGTCGGCCTGTGCTCCCTTATTGTGCATATGTTGGAGGTATTTCTCGAGTAAGAGTTCGACTTCTTCCTCCGCCTCTTGGTATTGCATAGAGTCCTCTTCGCCTCCCTTAAGGTTTCTTTTCTTTGGTGTCTCTACCGTTTCTTTGGTAATTTTGGAGCGTTTATCGAACGGGTATTCTCCGGCTTCGTTTCTTGTAATCTCTTGTTCCGTAGGCTCGAAGAACTCTATCTCCGGGGTGTTAATAAGGGTTTGAAGTGTCTCTCCGATGATTCCCTTCGAAGTGGTATATCCTTTCTTTGCTCTAGGCAAGGAATCCCGTTCTTTCTTTATCGCTGCGTTCTTTGCCTTTTGACTTCTTTTCTGAATCATGCTCGGCAACTCTTCCCATGTGATGTGCTCGAAGTCAATCGGCCCACGGTGAACATCGTCAACAGGCGCCTTCCTCTTCGCATTTGCAGCGGTATCTTTGGTGTCTGCATTGTCCATGTTGGTGGAATTTGACTCTGAGGTCTTTCGAAGCAGGTGAGGTTCGAGTTTGAATGGATTTTCTTGAAGAAGTACTTGGGGTTGATTGTCCGACATGTTGACAAGTGGGGTTGTATTCGGGGATTGGTCAAGAATGGAGGTTTCGGATCCGGGATTGGTCGACATGGTGAATGGTGAATTTGAAGAGCGTGTGCTTTCTGGTTGGCCAGGTATACTCGAGTGTCCTGTGTAGGGTAGACTAGTTGACTTTGCTGAGGTTATCCAGGTCTGAGGTGTATGTTCGTCGTGAAGGTAAATCAGAGCTTTCGACAGATCGGGTTGCTTCGGGTCGCGGTTAAAGAAGGATAGGTCTCTGGTAGAATGGTATAAAAGGTTTGACTATTGGTTGTTCTTCTGTTCTTCTTCTTCTTCCTTTCTTATCGACAGTTCAACAATTCCCTCGATTTGTATGACAGTTCAACAATTCCCTCGATTTGTATGACAGTTCAACAATTCCCTCGATTTGTATCGGGGGGGTCTGATGAATACCAACCGCAAACATGTGGTCTGGAGGTATGTTCTGAGGTGGAGGTGAAGTTTGGTAGGTGGTGCAATGGATATATTTGGTAGTAAAAAGTAGGTAGTTAAACTTCGTGTTGGAGTGGTGTAATAATATTCATTTCACCCACATAACGTTTTATTGCATTCGCTGATTTCAGGACAGACGATGTTGTCCGTTCTCACTTCTGTCCACATCATTTTCTCTCGACGTCGTTATTCGAGATTTAACTCCTTCCCGGGTTGAGCAGGAGGTTCGAAGCCCGCGTCGTCATCATAGGGAAAGCTTATCAATTGATTAAAGAAAGCAGCATCTGGGTCTTGTCTATCCCATTTTGTTGCCTCTGAGTCTCCTTTCATATTCTCAAACTGCTGCTCCTGCGATATTTGTTCATCCATTATCTCGGAGAGTCTGGCCAACTCTTCCCATCCTCGAGGGTCGACATCGTTCTCGGGGTCCCGGGCCTTGAATGGTTTCAGGTGATTCAGGTGATACTTCCCAATCGCCTCTTGCGTGACCAGACTTTCAATGATTGCTGACCGGTTGTTTTGGTAGATGTGTTTAATTCGGAACGGTCCCTTCCAGCGCGGGTCCAGTTTTGGCAAGTTTTGCTGCATGCGCTTTAGGAGAACCAGGTCCCCAACTTGCGGCGACGGCCACAGTCGGACGTTGTTGTCCGTACGTTGAAGCATTTTTCCGAATCGCCTAGTTGTTGCCAGATCTCGGGCGTAGTCAAGGGACTCCATCCTCATTGCAGCTACCTTTCCCGAGTACAGTCCTGCGTCTCCCCTCTCAGAGTCGATCTTCATCTCTAGCGATTTAACGCCAAGCTCCTCTTCGATCTGCAATGTTGTCTCCGGTTGTTTCGGATTAAACCCGAAAAGTAACTCGTTTGGGGAGAATCCTAGCGATATCATTGTTCGACAATTTGCAGCGTGGACTACCAAGGGTAACAGGATGTTCCATTTTACTTTGAGATGGGGGTTCTTTTGGACTGACGCTTTTATAGCGGTCGACACTATCTTTACCATTCTCTCATTGAGGCCAACTGACGAAGGGCTGTATAGAGGCGAATAAATCCTCTTTACTCCTCTTCGTTTCAGGTCGTCTGCAAGGCTTCCTGTCACAAACTGCGATCCATTGTCTGAGTATGTTGCTCGAGGATTGCCGTAGATGCTAAGGATGTCCCTGTCCAACGATTCCTGACACGCTTTTGCTGTTGCTGCGATTAACGGGTCTGCCCATATTTTCCTTGTTAAGTACTCAACCTTGACAAAGATAAAGTGGTGGCCATCGTCGGAGGGTGGAAAGATTGGCCCGATTAAGTCAAACCCTATAAGGTCGAAGGGTTCATGCGTCAATATGGGTAGAATTGACTGAGAGGGCTTCATAGGGGTAAGGACTTGGCAGTTCCAGCACGATGCGCAGTGTTTCTTTATATCTTGCCGTCGGGTTGGCCAAAAGAATTGCCCGAAGGCGCTTTGGAGACAGATATCCGCTGCATAATGGCCGTGTTGTTCGTGTATGTGGTTTAATATCCACTTCACCGAGTTCTTTGGGACGCAGAGGCTTGTCTTGCCATTTCTCTCCTTGTATGCTAACTTGTCTTCGAAGAGACAGAATCTCTGTGCTTTTCGCACCAGACGCTCGTTGTTTGCCTGCTCGAGGGTGGAGGGATCTCCGTTCTCAAACTTCTCAGGGTGTCGTAAAACGTCAATCACTTCGGTGTACCAGTCGTCATCTATCAAGTTGTTCAATTTTCCAACGTGCGCAAGAGCGTAAGATTGAGCGTGGTCGATGTCGACAGGAAAGGCTGTAAGTTCTTCATCGTCTGTCTTCTTATAATAGTCCTGCGCATGTGGGAGCCGTGACAGTCCGTCCGCTACTACTAACTCCTTGCCCGGGACATGCACGTAGTCACAGTAGAACTGTGAAAAGCGCATTTGCCACCTTGCGATTCTGTCTGGTACCGACTCCCCTTTGAGCATGGGGATAAGGGACTTGTGGTCGGTATACACAACAATAGGCCAGGATGACCCCCTGGTCAGCCATTCTGTTTCCTCTAATGCTGCCAATACTGCAAAAGCTTCTCTCTCAGTAACTGTCCATCGGCTTTGTGGTCCAGTAAGCCGCGTAGAGAGGAACATTACGACCTTTCGGTCTTCTGGGGTGGTTTGCTTTGCGTTAGTGCCAGGCGGGTGATTCGGGATTTGGAAAAGGCAAGCTCCGAGTCCCGTTTTGGACGCGTCTGCTGATAAATGGTACTGAACGTTTTGATCGCCAGCTGTGGTACATTCCGTTAGGATACTATCGATAGCGCTACGCATCGCCTTCTCGTGCTTTTGCTCCCACCCGAAGGTGCACTTTTTCCTCTGCTCGCCAGTGGACAATGTGGTGATCTCATACTTTAGGGCTGTTTTCATAATAGTCGTGAGATCGGCTCTCCCCGGGATAAACGTTTTCAAGTATGGGAGAGTGTATAGGATGCGTAATAGCTCCTCTTCGCACGTTGGCGTTTTTATATCTCGGAACGCTGCCAGTTTATCCATGGACGGCCTCATCCCTTTAGCTGTTTGTGTGAATCCTAGTATGTGCAACTCGTTTGTGAAAAAGACTGCCTTTTTCGGATTTAGGGTAAACTTCGCCCATAGTAGTCGCGGGAAATAGTGCCACCACAAAATCGGAACAGGTCTTCAAACGTTCTTCCTCCCCCCACTATCATCATCAACAAAATGACTGAAGACACACTGGCCTAGGGCGGCCTCGTGAAGTGCTGGTTCTGGAACGGTTCAGGGATCGGCCCTGTAATAATGTCTTTTCCTTTAGAGTAGGTGGATGGTGCTCCTGTTAAACCTTGGCCCATCCGGAGGTAGGCCATTTGGCCGAAATGTGTAGAGAAACCTGTCTTATAAATATGGGCATGGTGTAATGGGATGGCCCAAAATCCATTGGCCCCGTCCGCTTGGAAGAAGGTCTTTAACCATTTCTGGCCTAACGTTTGAAGGATTGGTTCAATGCGCTTCATAGTGTACGCATCTTTAATGGTGGCATCATTGATGGGAACAAACGAATGGACCATCGTCATATTACCTGTTGCCTTCTTCGGGATAAACTTGGTCTTGGCAGACCACGGCGACGTAATGCGAGTGATGACATTTGCTTCAAGTAAATCCCGCAAGAACTTATCTTGATATGCGCATTCTTTCTCTGAATACAGTGCTGGGTTACACATGCGTGGTCTTGCTGTGCTCCGCGTCGGTATTCTGTGCTCAATGATGTCGGTGACAGGCATGTCCCGAACCCAGTTACAGAAAATTTCTGGAAAGGTATAATACAGTCGAGCAGCAAGTTTCTTCTGCTCATCTGTCTTTGCATCAGGGCCAATCATGTGATTATACTCGTTGAGCTGTATCCATTCGCAAATAGTTTCATCACTTGCGTCTGACAACCCGCGTCTATAACTTGCAGGATGACGTTCCACTGGGAAAGGGGCATCCAGTGTGCCGAACGCCTCCTCCTCATCCTCTACAGTATGTAGTGCCTTGGGTCCTTTTATTTGAGGCGGGCGTTGCGTAGTGCTCTGGTCGACTCGGGGGACAGGTACGATGTCTACGGCTACCATTGCATGGCTTGAGAGGACATGAGAGGTAGATGGTGTAGTGTAATTCCCTGAGTCGATTCCCTCAACTCTTTTGGTTGGACAGTAGGGCTTGTCCGGATTTCCTCGCATAAGACAGTCTAGGAGGTCATCATTTGCCTCTACCTCTTCGGGGCCCAGTTGACGTTTGGTAGAATCCCATTGGGGTCCGGTTCCCTGTAACAAGTTTTGATATTGCTGCATCTGTTGGACTGGCTGGACCCAGGTGCCGTCGACATCCTTCCAAACAGTGCGCTTTAAGATGGCAGTCATTCCTTGCAGCGGCAAACCATAGGTCGAGGGTTCGATCGAAATCGCGACAGGATGCGGCTCATTGCTCTGTCGAGCCTTCTGCCTCTCGGTAGACATTGTGTCCTCGCTGAAGGGTTTGGTGATTGGAGCACAGGAAGAGGACACAGTGTAAAAGTTAATGGTGTCAATTTCGTCCTTGTCTAATCTATTTCTGTTTTGGGTATTTATGATTTCCTCTGACTGCCCTTTCCCTGGATTCCCAACAATTTCTCCTCGCATCCCTTGCGCGAGCTTCTGAGCGGTGGATGTATCGTCTGTAGATCTCCGCCACGAGGTATGGTTTTCAATTTCTCCCCTCCGGGATATTATTCTTCTTCGGCCAAGTTTCTTTCTCCTTTCCTGAGCTTGGTGATTAAGTCTGAGATCGTTCGGCCACGATGCTGGGCTATTGTGTAGTTCTGTAGTACGCTGCACTGGCGGGCCTCGGGCCACTTCTTGGTTTTGGGGATTGCGCTTATTTGACGTCTTGCTTTGACATAGGGCTAGTTTTGCTGCAATGTGCCATGTTCCTTCAAGGTCCGCTCCAAAGGCTTGTGCTGCAATGGCAGTTGAGCTTCCCAGGGGGGGGTACTGCGCCTCGATAAGCGCGAGTGTACTGTTTACCATGTCTTGAAGGGGACTCAGTGGAGTGGGCTGGGTATCTATGGCAGCTAATACGCCCTTGATTGGCCGCCTGTA